GAGCCAGTTACGATTACTGCCCGTGTTGCCCGTTTACCCTTTTCTTTAATTTACAAAAATGTTTTAGGTTATCTTATTTTGCTGTTACTAATGTTTATAACATTATAGTAATTATAATGTTTATTATAAAAACACCATCGATGTTCATAGCACTTGTAAAACATATGTTTTTCCTGCCAATTCAAATCAAAGGTCACAAGTTCTACTAATGGACTACTTTGTGGCTAAGCACTAGCAGAGCCATCTATATGCAGACAAATTTCACAAAAATATAGAAAATGAGCACAGCATTTTCCCCATCTTTTATTCATTTTCCCCAGTGGCATTGGGTTAAAATATGCTAGTTATATCTTCAAGAGACCATGAGCTTCCTCATGTCCAGTGGCCTCTTCCTCCCAGGAAAAGAGAAAGATGCAAGATACAGTCTTTCCTCCGACACCAGGATAGATACCTCTCTCGTAACTTCCTAAGACTGTTTGACTTGACCAGCAAGTTTACCACAGTCAAGGGGATCAGGCAGACAGTTCAGACGAACCAGCTATTGACATGAGGACTGAGCTGAGTTGAGCTTGGTCCAGTCAGTGCAACACATGATAATGAGTATGGCAATGGCTTGCCAATGAGGCCCACTGCCTCACTCAATGCTACACAAAATGCACATCTTATAAAAACAAAGACAACAGGAAGGGACAAAACTAACTTGGAAAACAAATCCATAAAGATTTGCAGAAAATTTACACTTAAATTTGAAAAAAGTAGAATAGGGAAAAGTCTAATGCACAGCAAAAAAACAGGAAACACACTCCCAGTCCGGTCAAGTACACATCATTACTTTCATATCCTGTCAAATGTATACCAATGTGATGCTAACAAAAAAATGATGTACCACAAAAAGACAACCAAGAGTTTTATTACAGAATTACAGAATAGAAGTCTGTAGATCAATCCACCCAAACAAAGCAATCCACCGAAGAAGTCAAACTTATAAAAAAAAATATTTGGAGAAGTTGCACTACTCTGAGTTCACAATTGCATTAACCCATAAGAGCTCTTCCATTTTCCACAGCCTTTTACAGTCAAGAATGTCTAGTTCAGCAGTCACACAAGGTGAAAAAGTAAAATGATGGATACATTTGAAACCTCCCCACCACATTAACTGTGACACTGGCAATGGATTAAACCACTGGAGCCTAAGATATCAATTGTAAGATTACAGAAGTTGAAACCATGTACACAAACTTCCCACTGCAACTGAAATTTTATTTACAGAATAAGTGCTGCACGATTAATAGAAGGAATATTCATGAAAACAAAAACTTTTTCTTAGTATTCAGTGAATATGGCTTGTTTGCTCAAACTAAGTAATATACAACGTGAACTAATGAATATGTTAGTGACAGTTTACATGCAAAGAAAATTAAAAGCAATGCAACTTACTTGTTGATGTCATCATAACAGGACTCACAAACACGAACTTCACGCTCAATGCCGAACTTTGGGATTGTAGAAAACTTGCTTGAGCAATCCCCACAAAAGACTTGCCCACAAGCACGGCAATGGTGCTGTAATGAATTTATTAGCATGTGTTATCATCTAACACCTCAGAAATCATGTGACTAGGTGACAGATGTGATTTTAACATCTAAATGATTATTTGAGTAAAAAAATATATATATCAGGAACTAAAGACATTAAAATATTAAGAGTATATATATCTGTACCTTTCGTCTTATAATGGTAAACTGTGACCTACATCGGTGACAGCATTCACCATCGGCCCAATCTGGTGCTCGGTCGGCTGTGAACATAGCATCACTCTCACTCACAGTCGGCAGGTGGAAACCTTCTGTTCTCAGAATGTTTACCGTATCCTGTAAAAATAATAAAAATAAAACAAAACATTAAACACACTACCGCATAAGGCAAGAATATAGAGGGAGAGATGGAGGGAGAGAGAGAGGGAAATGGAGAGGGAGGGAGGGAGGGAGGGAGGGAGGGAGGGAGGGAGGGAGGGAGGGGGAGGGGAGGGGGAGGGAGGGGGAGAGAGAGAGAGAGAGAGAGAGAGAGAGAGAGAGAGAGAGAGAGAGAGAGAGAGAGAGAGAGAGAGAGAGAGAGAGAGAGAGAGAGAGAGAGAGAGAGGGAGAGAGAGAGAGAGAGAGAGAGAGAGAGAGAGAGAGAGAGGAGAGAGAGAGAGAGAGAGAGAGAGAGAGAGAGAGAGAGAGAGAGAGAGAGAGAGAGAGAGAGAGAGAGAGAGAGGAGAGAGAGAGAGAGAGAGGGAGAGAGAGAGGAGAGAGAGGAGAGGAGAGAGAGAGGAGAGAGGAGAGGGAGAGAGAGGAGAGAGAGAGGAGAGAGAGAGAGAGAGAGAGAGAGGAGAGAGAGAGAGAGAGAGAGGAGGGAGAGAGAGAGAAAGAGAGGGAGAGAGAAAGAGAGGGAGAGAGAAAGAGAGGGAGAGAGAAAGAGAGGGAGAGAGAAAGAGAGGGAGGGAGAGGGAGAGAGGGAG